TCTATCTATCTATCTATCTATCTATCTATCTATCTATCTATCTATCTATCTATCTATATATCTATCTATCTATCTATCTATCTATCTATCTATCTATCTATCTATCTATCTATCTATCTATCTATCTATATATCTATCTATCTAATCTATCTAATCTATCTAACTATCTATCTATCTATCTATCTATCTATCTATCTATCTATCTATCTAGCTATCTATCTATCTATCTATCTATCTATCTATCTATCTATCTATCACACATATTGTGTTGTATTCGTCATTCTGGAAGAGTCGTATATTGTTTTTACTTATTCTCAAGGGAATCACGGGCTGCAACGGCTTTAAAAACTGCACATTAGAGGCCCCTCAAAAGGTGCAGCTTTGCAGGCATATATCTTTTTGGAACAAGCATTATACCACTTCTTATGAACATAAAAATCAAAGAAGAGAAATTGATTGAACCTTCAAGACTTAAATATAGATGATGTAGTTTTGATATTGCAATAACAACCGCCCCCACCACTTAACCTAAAAAAAATTCCACTAATGTCAAAGACAATGAAGGGGAAATAACTGAGGAAAAGATATCTAAGGGAAACGACTGAACCTTAAAAATAATTTTCTACCATAAAGTGATAATAAAACAAACTCTTATTTTAAATTTTAATAGTACGTGAGTTCATAGACAACGAGTAAACAAGTCAATCATAAAATAGGTAATTAAATGAATTTCTACATCATAATAATCTGAGGCCAGGTATGAGACTGCCTGTGGCGAGGACGGACCCTGTTTGGGACGTGAGTTGTGAGTCTTGAGAGCTATCTGGAATGTTACTTGGAATACGCATTTTAAAACAGGAGATCTGAATTACACAGTTTGTTGACATATACTGTTAATAGATAATGTGTATAAGGTGGAGACATACTCTAGACCAAATGTTGGCAACAGACAGTAGACATTTTTATACCTTAGATCTGCTAAGAATATATTTTAGGATCCTCAGGAACGGGTGGCTTGTATAAACATAATTGCGGACATTAAAAGACCCAGCCTTCAAAGGGCCTCATGTTGCCGTTGACTGTCCCTAGATAATGGAGCAGGAACTGGCCAAACCTGCAGGATTCCTTTTATTTCAATTATTGTTACACGGCAGTCTCAGTAGCATAATTTAAGATCACAGTTCGTGATACTCATTAATTTAAACTTTACCAACTTTTAATCTAACACACTATGCACATTAACAATGATATGTGTCGATTAAAAAAAAAAATTCGCGTACAGCTGGAATTTTGTAAACTAAATAAGTTAACTTATGTAGTAATGTAAGCATGATGATGAATGGGGAAAATGCATTTGAATTGTGTATGCGTTACAAAATCTTCTTTGGACTGGTTAGGTATGTGTTTTTCTGGTATCGAAATATGATTTAAAGATTTTTTTTTTAAATAATGGTTATCACATGAACCAATACAGGAACAGATCCCATTACTAAAATAAAATTTACCAATGTGCTTAGGAAATAGTAAGTTGTCAGCATGTATGTATGTATGTATGTATGTATGTATGTATGTATGTATGTATGTATGGATGGATGGATGGATGGATGGATGGATGGATGGATGGATGGATGGATGGATGGATGGATGGATGGATAAAGGGCCACTTGTCTTGATCTATGATAATTATTTCCAAGTGGATGTAACGAATAAAAATCAGGTGACACGCCAGTGTCATTGTTATTACGTCCCTTTGAATAGATAACTAAGGTTTTCCATACGAATTATTGTCCCAAAGCAGTTTAAAATAGAAATCGAATAATGACACCAAAAGGGCATGATAACTGGTGGAAATATGGAGCGCCATCTGGTTTATTTTTATAGATTACGCATCTCTTTCCGTATTTTACACGCAGACTGTGATTGCGTTGTGCCAGCTACTGGTATTAGAAATATATTTGGTAGGTTAAAATTACAATGAGGGAAAGCTATTGGTATTGCATTAAATTACAAACGATAACAATGGGAACTTTTTAAAAAATGTCCTGTCTAACCCTTCAATGGGTTCGGGGCCGTCCATAAAGTATGTCGCGCTATTTTTTACCATTTTTACCCCCCCTCCCCCTGTCACAAACTGTCACAAACCTCGGACCCCCCCCCCCTTCCCTAAAGTACGTCACACTTTCGAACAATTTTTTTTTTTAATTAATACCTAATTAAAATTTAATCTAAAACACACTTCAATAGTAAACTGTAAAATTTAAAATTTCTACTTAAAATGAACTATCACATTATTAAAATGACTTAAACTGTCACAAACCCCCGACCCCCCCCCCTTCCCTAAAGTACGTCACACTTTCGAACAATTTTTTTTTTTAATTAACACCTAATTAAAATTTAATCTAAAACACACTTCAATAGTAAACTGTAAAATTTAAAATTTCCACTTAAAATGAACTATCACATTATTAAAATGACTTTAATAGTAGAATAGTTAATTGTCAACAGTTGTCACAGTTATTCATTGAAGCAGTAATTCAATCCAGATTGACTTTGAAAACAAGAATTGCAAAAGTTAGACTAGACAATTATATAATACACATCATTTATCTGCTGCTTTTTCATTTACAAAAGGTGAGGTCAAGTTTTAGATAATTTCCGATTATGCAATCTTTTTACACAGGATAAGAAGTAAATTAGTGAAACTTGACCTCACCCAGTGATTAAATAATAAAAAGGAAACAAAACAATTTGACTAAAAAAAAACTAGATTGACAAATTATCTGACAAACTCTTGGGCTATATTGAATCTGTTAATTATGGGACTGTTAATTATGTTTAATTCAAAAATATTCACTGGACATCTTCCATCCATGGTGAAGTGAAGTGTTCATCCATAGTTACGACTGGCATCAATCTTTCACCATCATCGTTTCCTGGAAGGATAATTGCAGACAGATCCACTTCATCCTCATCTAGCCACTCAACATCTTCTGAATGTGCATTTTCTCTTCTGGCAATAACAGCCCAGAGTTCTCTTTGCCCTCGAGTAGCGATTCTCAAAGTACTGATGCGTTTTATCTGAGTTGATTCTGGAACAGTTTGGGTTGGCACATTCTCCCGAGCCCAAGCTCTGTGTTGTCCTGCATGTTTCTTCGACATTGTTTGTGAGGCAAAGTATAAGTGACATACTTTGCAAATTCAATCAAGTAGGCTGGTCTACAAAGATGAACAAGAAAGATCATATAGTTGTACTTTGAAAACTCCTGTTGATCTCGGCAAGGCTACACATAAAACAAGGCTTCGCAACAGCATACTAGCGCTCCTAGCGAGAGGAATCGTGAACAACACATTCAGAAGATACGCATTTCATGCTATTTTGACATGAAACTAATTCAAATGTTTCACAAAATTTTTGAATTTTTTTTTAAAAGCTTTTAAATTCTACTAAAAAATAAAAAAATAAGTTAGAAATAAAATTTGAAAAAAAAATAAATGTGTGACGTCACACATGGCCTGACCCCCCCCCCCTTCCCCCTGTCACAAACTGTCACACTTTCTTACACCCCCTCCCCCCCCTCTGGAGTGTGACGTACGTTATGGGCGGCCCCTTCCCCCTATTTATAAAACTTTATTAAAAAAATAAAAAAAAAAGTAAGAAAAAAAAATTGAAAAAAAAATAAATGTGGTACGTCACACATGGCCTCCCCCCCCCCCCCTTCCCCCTGTCACAAACTGTCACACTTTCTTACACCCCCTCCCCCCCCTCTGGAGTGTGACGTACGTTATGGGCGGCCCCTTCCCCCTATTTATAAAACTTTATTACTTGTCCTATCTCTGACACTAAATCCCCCATCCCCACAAACGCAAACGAAAAAAAAAAATGTTAACAAAAAAATCTTTGAACTGCCCTTATAGGACATACGCTCTATGATAGTAAATACTTTATTATATCATAAATAATATATTTGATACTGAAAAGAGACACCTTAATTCAGTCAAAGTGCCACATATGCACATTATGGTTTCCGTTTCAAAGTGAGTCCGTCACCACTTGATTGCTCATCTGCCATTTTCTTCTCACACCTTAGGCTTCTCGCTAATTAAATTCCATTTTGCTCTAATTTTGAACGTGCTTGTTCAGTGGTATGCTCCACTATTTGACTGTGTTTATCACGCTTGAGCATCACTTAAAATCAAAAGTTAACCCTTTAATATTCAGATGTTGCTGTTTAATTTTTATGGCAAATGGGCGAACCGAATGAAAAGCAAAATAGAATTTATAAGAAGAGCAACTGTGTCTATCTGCTATGTCTATCCTCTTTTTATGCAATTGTTTCCCCTGCTTGCAGCCGCGAAGTTTACTTTCATTTTCACAATTTGATTATTTGAAACCGCACTCCTTAAATTTGTTTACGTTTTTTTCAAAGGTCAATTATTTAACATTTTGTAGAACATGCATTGACTTAAATAAATAATTCAAACTATATTTAGACTTTAAACTCTTCTATTTTTCTTGATCAAGGTCAGTATCCGTGTTTCCATTTTTGGAAAATCGGACGAACTTCCCTATCCAAGATGGCGGAGAAAGTTCGGTCCGATTGTTATTGTAGAGTGACTATAGAAAGATTTCACTTGGATCTGTAGCCGCTTCTAAAATGGCGAACTGCAAGTGGAATAAGCTGTTGTTGTAAATAATGAAACTTCTATATAATTTTTTTTTGGAAATGTTTTTCATGAGCAATTAAATTAACTTAAAGAATAGTCTGAATACAGATTAATAGGCTTAATTTTTAACAAGAGTCAAGAGACACTCAACTGAATGAAAGCTGAAACTGAATGTGAATTAGTTATTAGGGCTAGGCTTATTAATGTTTAATTTAAGCTATTTGAATGTGAAACTTATATTCATTGACCGGTAAATGTCAAGTTTAGCATCCCAAATTATTTTTCTCTATATTAAATAGGTAATTTAGGCCATTTGTTGTAGAAAAGTTAAAAATGGAGAGGGATATTACTCAAGAACTGACCAAAGCCCAAATGCGGATCACATTATTTAAATATATCATTTGTCATTCACTTCCAATTGACTCAATTTTTGTATAAATTGATGAGTCTAAGTCTAAACACTTCCACCACAAATGCTGAAGACAGTTGTGTGATTGTGATGGCCATTGGGTGTTTTGCAGGATCGAGAGAATGGCTGGTAAATGCTTTCTGATAGAAGTCCTGAATCGCACTGCAGCTATTTTGACGGCAGAAATAGTTGCACATATAAAAATAATGCTTGGAACTGTATCTGACAGCTGGGCTGCTTTTGTCTATATTCCAATGATTCATCATTGCATATACACTCATTCAATGAACTCATTCTGTGACTGGTGGTTCATCAGGCTAATTTTATTATATAATATAATTATATTGATGGTCACACACAAAATGTAGAAAAGAACTGGATGAGCGCCAAAAGAAAGCTGAAGAGACCATATGGGACTACCATGGGCGCCCGACGGGGGGGCAAGGGGGGCATAAAAAATTTTTATACAAAAAATTTATTAAAGTAAAGAGAAAATAAAGAGAAAGTAACTTAGCTGATGTCCGTTCGTTCACCATACAAATACGCTACAGTACATTAAAACTATATTAAAACATTACTAAAAAATTTTTGCCCCCCCCCCCTGCAAAGTAAAAGGTTTTTTTTCCCCCCCCCCCCCCCCTAGAAAGTTTTCTGCGGGCGCCCATGGGGACTACTCATGCACGGTTCCCTTTTTAACCCCAGAAATTCATTTTTATAAACTCAATTTGTCATGGAAATGTTCTAGGAACATTCCTGGTTGTGATTACTTACTGAAAAGGTATCCAGTTTAAACAAGTTGCAATTGAAACAGTTGAAACATTAATAAAGTTTCATTTTGTGCTTGAAATAATAAATACAAATTTCTGCCTGTTATTCTGAAGTTTTCATCCGGTGCTTCTGTTGTTAAATTTGTGTTAGGCAAAAACCAATTATCTGGGACATTAAACTTTACTTTCACCCCTAGTCCTACCTCACAGGCCTAATCCAGGCTAAACAGTAGAGTGGGGCTAAAATATCACTAAAAGTTTGTTCTGTATCTCAATCTAACTCGTTCTGACTCTGACTGAGTTTTAAAGGAAATTTATGATGCTATCATTAGGTTTACTGGTATCTAGATTTAGAGGCGTAGCTAGAATGTTTGGAGTCTGCTGGATAGGATTCATTTTTACCGCCCCCTCACCTCTGAATCCCATTATTTTCTTCAATAAATACCATCAAAGCCCCCAATAGTGTGGCACCTGGGGAAATCTGCCCCCTCCCCCTCCTTAGCTAAGCCTCTGTAAAGATAAACTTTTAATTATTTAATTAAGGTAAAATAAGAATAGGCCTAATGCTAGTCTTAAAATATACTAAAGAAAAGAATTTCTTTTTCTCCCCATCTTGGATTAGTTTTTGGAAATGTTATTAGTGTTTTAAAACTATTGCAATGTAAACTTTTTTCCTGGTCTTTCCAGACTTAACTAGCTCGATTCTGGATATGACATAATCCAACAATTTTTTTTCTCAAGCCTTTTTTTTTTATATGTCCCAATCATTGCTGGACTGATATGTCACACATTTCTACTTTCAACCACAGGCTCAGATTTTGTACAACATTAATTAAATACATTGTTAATGTGTGTATTTAAATGGTATGTGCCTCATGTGGTGACTTTAATTTAACTTATGTGCATTCAAAGAATCAAGATTTTAAAAATAAATAATGTGGGTGGGTGTTATGTGAGATTATATCAAATTTAAATAAAGGTAAATTATGTTCAAATTCCTATGTTTAGAACAACCACTAAAGCATCAGAAATACATTCATGATTTAGCACATAGCCAGAAGCGGAGCAGTGCTAAACCAGTGCCTTTTTGGAAAGCTGGAAAACTTATTTATCAGAATTTTTTTTACAAAAGTTGAAATTTCCTTATTGCCTACATCAGGGTCTCAAACTCAAATCATCCGGGGGCCGCAGGAGGTAGAGTCTGATTGAGACTGGGTCGCATCAAGTATTCCACAAAAAATGCGATTACAAATTCATTAAAGTACAACTGTTACAATCTGCTCAACCTTTATTAATAACAAATAAAAACATTAAGGGTTCTCAAGAACTAGGCTTCACTTTCTTCCTCCTAATCAGTGCCTCTTCATACACAGCTGAGCAACTTTGTCTAGAGTGAGGAAGCAACTGACACCCTCATTATGGCTCGAAGATGCTCATCAGTAAGTTTGGCCCTGAATTTTGACTTCTTAACGTTGATAGTGGAAAAGAGCTTTTCACACAGATAGGTACCCCCAAAAAGTCATATGATCCACTTGAACAACCTGGAAATCTCAGTGAAGGTGGAGGGGAATGCTCTCATAAAATGTCCATACTTGTCTGTTTTTCAATTAACCTCCCTGAACTTAGAATTGCACTGAAGATCAATCAGCTCCATTTGAAGCACACAAAAAAGGGGAGTGGGGGGGGGGCATCTTCCACGTTAAAGGAGAAAGGGTCAGTAAAAAGCTGAAAAGTGGCTGTTTGTGTTTTGAAGTCTAAAAAATGTGATCAAATTCTTCCTGCAGCTTTGCAATCGCATCAGTATACTTACTACTGGTTGGTGTGCCCAAGACCATGAATACTTTGCATGTTGTTAAATGGCAGAGGTTTCTCTAAGAACCATAACACAAGTTTTGTACAGAATGCCCTGGCATTGTCACAGGCAACACTTACATGCTACCCCTGGTCGTGTAACTTCTTGTTGAGTACACTCAGCTCCTGTGTAATGTCATCAAGAAAAGACAAGTTCATGAGCCATTTGGGATCACTTAGTACAGGAACAACCACCCCATCCTTCTCCATGAAGGCTTTAAATGCTAAAACGTGTCCAAGCAGGAGCAGGCCATATTTATTAATTATTGATGCAAAGGAAGAAGCTATTGTAGGGAGAATGAATTTTGAATTTTTATCTTAGAAAAGACATTTTTTGACTAACCCTATTTTGAAAACGACCAAGCTGACAGGCTCGGAAATTCCCTCACTCATAAACACTATCAGCAATATTAATAGGGATTCTTTGATACTGTGTCGGATTGCTACGATTTACACAATTATGGTTGTGCAATACCCATCAACTTACTTTTTAAAACTTTTCACAAAACCGCACTTTTGCCATGTTTGTCTCATAAAAAGCTATAAAATAAAAACATTTTAGTCCAATTTTAAAACGGTTCTTACCATTATCAACATACAAATGTATACAAACATAATAAAAATTAGAATAAGACTAGTCGGTGAGATTCGACTGAAACCGTCGCAGAGGGTCACATTAAAGATATGAGAATGGGGAAAACGCGCCAGTCGTATTAACACTAAACTTTGCTGTCATATAGCGGGCCGCAAATGGCCTACATGGAAATAATTTATCTAAACTTCAAGGAAATTATAATTTAATTAAAACCAGTGCATGTAATTAACATCAAATTTTTTAATTAATTGCTGTCACATTGTCAACAAATAATTGTAATTGATTAAGTTAAGACCGACATTTCTATTGTAAGTAGCCTGTCTGTCATGGTTTTCTTTTTCCTCTTTGAAAAAATACCATTTTAAAATGTATTCTAATTTGAGAGATTATATTATAGTCTCTTACTTACAGTCAAATTAATTATCGTTCTAATTTGTGTTTTAATAACATTGGTTACGAAACAGCAAAGCCTCTATTAGTGGCATTTTGCAACATTTTTAATTACGAATGTTCAAACCATTTACCTGCTGTAGACTTGTGTAATTTTTTTTCTCAAAAACAATAATTTAAATGCTTTCCTGCTTATGTAGGTAATGTTACTCATGTTTGTATGATTTTATACTAAAAATTATCCAGGAATGTTGGTGAAAAAATGTGATACCATGTTCAAAATAATCCCTAAATTGTATCACAAACTATGCAATATACTTAAAAATGTGTAAAGGTATTAGAATCAAGTTTAAGAGGTTTATGAAATTAAAAGAATAATTTAAAATTTCTGAACATAAGTTTTGATGCAAACACACATTGGTAATTTATATGAAACTTTTTAAATTTTAAGTATCTGGATTTACATCTCATGAGTTATTTTTTTGTCATAGTTTGTAAATTGATTTTTGCATAGTTATTGGGTTAAAGGAAATAAATTGGCTCCGTTTCTCAATATTATTTTACATAAAATGTTTCAATTTCAATTACTTTTATTCAGTGTTGAACGTGGTGTTTAAAAAGTGAAAGACATTGAACATGCAGACTTGGGCCTTTGAACCTAGATACCCATCTAGAGGCTTACAGTAAATTTTACTTGTCTTAAAATGGAGTTCAGAGATATAATTGAAATTCATCGATCAAAGCTAGAGCAAACAGTGGATGTAGAGAAGCTTTATCACCAACTGCAGCAGGAGAATGCTATCACCATGGATGAGATTTCTCTCATAGAGGATCTGCAAAGCAAGCCTGCTAAAGTTGGTAAACTTCTTGACATCCTGCTGTCCAAAGACAGTGCAGCCCTACAGAGTCTGTACTTAGTGTTACAGAATGTGTACCAACAGTTGCTCACGTCTATGTTGTCTGACACACAATTCTCTACTAGCCGGGGAAAGCAGCCAGGTAATAATTTTCAAAAGTGATTTAATGTTGATGATTTTTAGTATGTTATATATTAGATAGTTATCAGGGTCTCCAATCCCAGAAAATTGTGTATTCATGATCGCTTAAAACTTCATTTGCACTCCACATTTTGGTTTTAAGTGAAATGAATTAAATTTGAGTCAGTGTTCAGATTTAAAACTCACTAAATGCTCTAAGGATGAGATGGCCTCAAGCATCATTACATACGTGGAATTATCATTTTTTTCACCTTCAGCCCATTGAATTGTTATATAATTAAACTTAAGACATTTAACAATGTAGTCATCTTCTATTTCAGAGGAGTCTTGTTCAACTTCTGTAACCTCAGATTCAGAAGATGATGTGAGTCAAGGACAGATCAGTACTGGTTAGTATTATACCATAAAAATTGCACAATATCATCATCTGGATTCATTTTATTTTCTGTAGTTAAGTGTTGAAGCTGGCATTCATTTGGTTTTCTAATTTTGTTTTAAGATTTTTTTTCTCTTATGTTGTATGAAACAAAATTTGGTGAGGATTTATATTGCCTATCATACAATCTACTACGGTACTCCACCCAAAATCTCTGAAAAATATTTTGACTAAGTCTCACAACCCCTACAAAAGTAACCATATTTTAAAATAATTACTTAGATCACTTTAGAATTACAGAGAGACGTGTTGAACTAAGTCGATGAACTTTAATGAAGATTTTAACAATTATTTAAACATTAATATCAATAGCCATTTTTTTCATTATAAAACTCATTTCCTTGAGTCCGTTGTTTGCAAGCGCTTGTTTTTTTTTAAATTAGAGAACTTTGGTGCACTACTATTGTAATTGTAGTTTCAGATTGCTTGATGTTTTTCTGTATTGTATATATTGCAATGCACATTAGCAGTACCCACAGACCTATGAGAAATATTATTAAGATGATTGCTAGTAATGCTCTAAAAGAGCTTGAATTTAATAGATGAACATAAGAATTGCTTAATTGGACACTAACAGAAAGTTGATTGCAGCTTTCATGGAAGTAAATGTGGCCCTCATCTAATTAGCCACAAGAACATAGAATTACAAAACAGGTTACAGATTCAATTAACTTTATATTTATTGGTAAGATGCAAGGGAGTGTTATGTTGGTTTATAATTACAATTCTTGTCCAACTGGTCTATTAGTAATTGCAACCTTGATTGTCAGCATGCCTCATTAGCCCATGATTATGATAAGACAAAGCCTAGGCATTGTTTCAAGTCCACTAATGATCCCCTCCCTGGCTGTAGGGATCAAATATCTAAATTTGTTAAGTAAAAGTCACTTTGGTCAGAGCAATGATAAGAAGGCCTTACACGTTGCTAGGTAGAACAACCCTCTTGGCCTCTAAAATTGAAGATCCTCAAATAATATTAATTTTAACCACAGAGATGACCTCTTAGTACTGGGGATGAAATTAGAAATTTTAATAAATGGTTTGGTGCATTTAAAAAAAAAAATTGAGCAATCCCAAAATCCTATATATTGCCACAATGCATAATCAAGAAAATTAGAAAAAAAAATGTTTATCTTTGGTGCATTGCTTTTATTTTACTTCAGAACTTTGATAATAGGGTTAGGGATATCCAAAGCAAATTTCAGGCCGTTTAATTAATTTTTTTCCCATTTTTATAATAAGCAAAAATTAAAGATAAAAAACGCACCAAATTTGACTTGATGTCATTTGTTGGTAACTAGTAGCCAAATATTTATAGTGATCTCCCTCCAATGTTTTAACTTGCTTCCTCTGGTTTTAAGATTATAGTTCTTTTGCATTTCCTGTAAAAATATTATAATATTGTTGTTTTAGCACCCTAGTAACCAAGTGTAAACAATGGTTGCTATGCCAAATTTACTGATGAGAAAGAACATAAATATGCAACAAAAAAGAAATGCATTTAAATGTTAAATTATAAGTTAAATTTGTAGTCAAAATTTTGCATGTAGATTGCAATTATGCACTAACTTTAATTAAAAATGTCAAATATCACAATTTTCTAACAAATTTTGGGGGATGAGCTACCTTAATTAAGGATGGATTGAGGTGGCTGAGTGGTCAAGTAACTCAATACAAAACCTCAGGCATACTCAGACAACTGCACTCTGAGTAGATGGGTCTCATCAACTTTGATGGTGGCTTTTGTCAAAGAAGGAAACTCTGATTAAAAACCTCTGCAGCCTTGTGCCTACAGACACATGGTTTAAGGCTGATGGGAGACAACTCCAACAGAAAAATCTGGAGATTGAATGTCGTAGGTGGTATGACACTTACTCAATGAAAATACCTGCAAATCATGCCATGTCTATGGGTCCAAGCCCTATCATCCAATTTCATGTTCCCTTTTGTTGACTAGCTGCTTGGAGAGACTTTTCCGCTTTCTAGGATCCAGCTTATTCTCCTTAACAAAATCCCAGGGATGGTGATTTCATTCAGCATCTCACCTTGAAATGGACAGATGCCAAAATTAAAATTTTATGTTAAGGAAAAGGTGTTGATTTAAATCATAAAAGAATTTTTCAGGAATTTTAATTAGAAAAATATATTATTAGAATATTGCGTTGTGCAGTTAATCACTGTACAGTTAATATATTCACTTTTAAGTTGTATTTTAAATTGAAGTTTTGTAATATTTTTGGGGTACGAGAATGATTTTCTTAGGTTTATGTTTTATCTCTTATTACTCTACCCAATTTCTTGTAATTTTGCAGTTTTATTTAGGTTAGTTTCAAGTATGGGTCAAATATTTGACCCAATAATGCTACCATACCCATTTCTACCGCCTGACTTCTTAATTTTTTGAAGACAAGTATTGTCATTGGGAATTGGGGGTGGGGGGGGGGGGGGGGGGGGGGGGCAGGATGTAGCTTCATTAGTTCTATTCATTCTATAAATAAGATATTTCCTGTTATGGATCTCAGCTCAGCTCAATTAACCAAAGCTTAATCAGAAGTTCTAAAGGCAGGTTAACAGAAACCCCAAAAGATGTTTTACAATGTGAAGCTCAATCAAAAGCTTTGTGCCAGAAACAGTTTATAATATTGAAATATCATTTATGGTAAAAAGTACTGTTTTGAAATTGAGACAACAGTAACTCAGTAAGCTTATAAATTAATTTTGCCTCTATAAAGTAACAACCTTTCAATAATGTTTTAGATGGGAGCCATCTAATATAGGCTAATATATAGAAGCAAAATGCACAATAGCACATTAGCAGGGATTTTAAATTCCATTGAGAGTTTTGGATAATTAAGAGAATCAAGTTAAAAATGATGTTTTTAGTCTTTGAAACAGAGTTTTTGAAACCCTTACTTTAACAGTCAAGTTAACTGAAGAAAAGCTCATTACATTGACAAATTTAACTGTTTCCATAAGCAATACCATATCAGTATTTTGAATTTCATTTATGAAATTTATGCTATGGCTATGATGTTAGTTTACTTTATAAGTTATAAATATAATATTACTGTGCACTTAAAATGAACTAAAAGAGCCTGATTAATGTAATTTCTTAATTAGTATATCAACAATTAAATCTCTAGCTCCTGATAAAATGCTTTTTTCTTAAAGATTGTTAAACTTGTTGGTAGTTTCAGCTGTCATCCTCTACATCATATCTTATTTAACTTACATTATTATCTTTCATACATTATTACATTCATGTCTTCACTCATTTTCTATTACTTTTCACATTCCTCTGTTTTGTTGTAAGAGATTTTTTTTTTACTTACAAGGTAAAGGAATCTAAATAGGTATATATATATAATTAAATATTTCTGATTGTTTCATTTATCCTTATAAATATGAAGTATCTGTCTTGAATCAACATGTCGATGGATGTGTCAATTGTAAATTACCAATTGTATTTTTATTCTTGGAGGTATATTGAAGTCACATTAAGTGTAACATTGAATATATGTTTCTTAACTCCAAAGATGCTAGGCAACAAGATTTTAAGATTCGTTCAACAATGACCAAAATCATCCCATCACATCAGTATGATCCCAACAGTACAATAAGTAGCAGCTTTCCCACCTCACGGTATGTTTTACAATGAGACTGTGTCATTTGTTTAATTTTAACTTAGTTCGTGCTGACAGATATTTTTTGAGATACATATAATTTAATTATAATAAAGCCACATATTGCCTCAAAGACAAAGTGGAATATGGTAAAATGTAAAATTGAAATTTCATGAAGAAAAATAATTATTTGCAAAGGAAATTTCTTATGCATTTGGTCTTTCTTATGCAATTTGTCTTTTTAACCTTTTACTTTAATGTCAATTGTTTTTTTTAAATATTTTTCCATTAATAGCGAACACCTGAGCCCCTTCTCAACCAGTATTGAACATACTTCCCCAAGTTTAGCGTCACTATGTGATGCTTTCCCTAAACATGGATACCCTGATAAAAATTATGGCTGGTTCTTTGGGCAGTTTGAAAAGGCTTTCAAAGAGCTGCAAGTGCTCAAACAGCAAAATGCTGAAATGATGGGCATGAGAGACCGCTATGATCAGGTTTGTTAAATCTAATATCACTTTTTATTTGACACATAAAATGCAAACGAACTCTCCCGCAATAACACTGGCAAAGAAATAACTTCATGGAATCCTTAAAGACAATGTGTGTGTAACAAAATGTCTCTTGTAGAATGCTAAGCATCTTAAGTATAAATAGTAAAGGTGTTAAAAAATTGTGAATGGTTTTAATTTAGTTTTGGTCATGTTTTAATGTTCCCTCCTAAAGAATGTGACTTGTTTGTTAGAATAAGAAATATAGTAGTTTTTCTAAATTCCAAATGAAAACTTCTAAATCTGTTTACATCTTCACTTAATTTTCTAAAAGTTTATTCTTTTATAAAAAATATTGGTGAAGAGTCTAATAATTTTTTATAGCAGTTTGAACAAATAAATCAACTTATGTTTAAGCACTCTAACTAGGTGTCAAAATGTTCCCATGAGAAAGTGAATAACAGCAGTGAAAAATCCTATAGCTTTTTCCACTGTTGTTCAAATACAGAAAATCAATAATTTCTCATCTTCTGGGCTAGCATTGGCTAGTATGCAGTCATCATTATTTTTAGAATTTGTTTACTATCAGCATTATTCCCCCATACATGTGAGGTAAGACCTCCTTTCATAGTCTATAGGCAATTTTTTTGCAAGGAAGAGAACGTAAAATATTGCTTAAATTAAGTGTAAATTTTCACCTGCATTTTCAATATCTAATAATGACAAAAGCTAACTTAAACTCTATATGCTTTATTAAATCCTAACTTCATTTAATTGAAATAGATTGTCCGCTTATTAGCAGCTGAAACATTTTGAAGAAGAAACTGTTATATGTAATTGAATATGGGTCATCCTTTTTTATAAAAATTCCTGTTACCGAACAATTGTGCAGGTTGGACTCCTGTAATACCATTCCACCAGCAGAAAGGGCCTGTTTAGTTGTTGTTTTCACTGGATGGGCTGTGTTTGTGTTGATCAAATGAATGTTTGTATCCGATGGTCACAGGGACTAGAATCAGAAACAGGAGTAAATAAGAATGGCTATTGTTGGGACAACTTTAAGTAATGGTTGATAATTTGAGTATTAAGTTTAGATATTGTAAGGCTATAAAGGAAATTTTTTAAAAAATTTTTTCATTTGTTTAAACTAAAACATTTTAATCATAATTATTTTGTGTGTAAAAGAGCAAGTAATAAGCAGTGTTTAATGAAAATTGTTATATTCTTTTTTTTTCCATTCCATATTATTGGGGAATGGATCACACAGCTGTGGAATATGTTGGTGTCGTTCAGATTTTAAAATCTAATACATGCTTTCTTCTTAGTGCAACAACTAATTTAATATTGGTAATTCATGTGCTAAAATGAGGAGACAGGTAATCTTACACTTAACTCCTGTTGTATCAAGTATGATAAATCCTGCTCAAAACTCTGTCAATGGTGAATTTTCATATTATTTGTTCCTTTCAATTTCAGGTTTCCAAAGAGGTCAAGCAGCTGCGTAGCAAGTACCAAGCTGAAGCACAATGTTTGCACAGTGCCACTCTTGAGATTCATGCCCTGAAGGAAGAGCAAGGAGCACTGCTGGCAGAGAAGAATCAGCTGCACGATGAGATTGCTGGGCTTCAGAAATTGAGATCTGAAGATAAGCACGAGCTATCTGAATTAAGGCACCAGCAGAGAAAGGTATGGTGTTGAATATCTCTCTGAGCTGCTTATCTTAACAATTTATCAGATATAAATTGTGATTAATTCAATTATAAATCCCATGCTGCACCTGAAATACACTTTCTTAAAAAAGGGCATAGAACTTGAAAATATCACAAATAATAATTCTCTTTGTGTGTAGGACTGCAATGTTGTGTTCAATAGAGGGTTTCAACAGCGTGCAAAATAAAATTCCCAGAAGTTCGTACTTATTGGGATTCTTATAAAGTGCGCTGCTTGAATGGGTGTTTTGTCAAGAAACTTTAGTAGACACGCATTGCTGACATCATTGTTTGGCAGGCTAGTTCTTTTCTAGTCACTGTAGGAATTTATGCTAGTGATCTTTGTAATATCTTAAAATAGACTTTTTCTTCATTATGTTCAGAATTGTTTATAGTTTCTGTGGCATACAACACCTCCCCCTCCCCCCCATAAATCTGCCTCAGTTACCTCCTTATTTTTTTACTTGTTCCCTTTCCTGGGTTTTTTTCCCGTAGCATCTAGATCTTTTTCTAGCTGGTTTGCTGGCTTACTGGAGGTTATACATAGTTGAGTCTACAACTACTAGAACTCACATAATGTTTAATAACACAATTATATAGTAAGTGAGAAGTTAAATTTCAGTCTGTGAAAGAAACAAACCTTGCAAAAAATTTTGTAAACGCATTGAAATATATATTATAATTTATTTTTTTTAACATTGAAAGGCTGCCAGTGAGTGTAACTCTAATGATGGCATGGGAGAGATGTATGCATCAATGCTAGACAAATATGAAAACATGCACAAAGATTATGATGTGCTGCGGGAAAAGTATGCTGAGTTGGCATCCTCTCACAGTTCAGCTTTGGGAAGATTGGACAGTATATCTGAAGAAAATGTCAACCTGCGTCACCAGCTTGAAGATGTACAAAGCAAAAATGAAGCGTTGTCTTTAGAGAGAAATGGCCTCAAGCAGCAGTGCACCAATGCCATCAGGGAGTGGAACCAGGTTAGCATACATTCAAGCATATTTTCCGATTGGTGTAATTTTTCCCAATCTTACTAACCTTCCTCAGGGTTCATAGAAATATTTCTTTAGCCTAGAAAGGATAAAAGCTAAAGTTTTTGAACAGTTGACTATAGATTTAGGAAGTAATTTTACTAAAACTAACATAATAATTTGTGGGGCTTATTTCAATAAAAACTGCAATCCAGAATTGGTTCAACGGTAGTTTGGTGGAGATAGTTTTAAAAATCTGGTATAAACAAAAAAAATGAATGTTGAAATTGGCCTACTTAAGGTATTTGTTTAATATTTATTGAAATATGCATTTTTCATCAGCTAATCCTATCATATCATATCATATTTTAGTTCAACAACTTTCCACAGACATTGATAAACCTAAGTCAAACCAAAGAAAAGCTGGCCATGGTTATCAAGCAGAGGGATGAATACTGTTTAGACTTTAACCAAACATTTGCCAAGCATGCTGAACTCAAGAAGAACTGTGAAGCCTTAAGGATTGAGAAGGATGCTGCTGTTAAAGAATATGCCCTAGTCATGTCTGAAAGAGATACTGTACACAAGGTCAGTTGGTGAAAGCAAATTCTATTTTAAGACTGTTCATTTTAATTTTTGAAGAAAATCATGTCACCTTTTCTTGTGGTTCAAGGACAATAAGTGGTGAAGAATTTGTCTATTGTTTAAAAAAAAACTTAAACAGGGTTTCCCCAAACTGGTATGCGGGGAAAATTGCTTTTAAAATGGAGAAGCCATTGATCTGATATATAAGACAAGATTTTTTAATTTTTTTTTTATATCTTTATTAAACTTTTAATGTAAATAGTCACAAGTTCATTTTCTAAGCTCTACAATTCTCTTTGTAATATATTTTTTAAATAATTATTTGAATTATTTTCAAATTTAAAATGCATTTTTACTTTTGCAGCAGTGCAAGGATAAGAAAAAAAAATTGTAAGGGGTGTTAGACTTTAATTCAAACATTTATAGGAGTTGCAGAATGTAGAAAAGTTTGGGGAACTCTTTTTAGAAATATTATCCAGATTATTTTGTCTTTAAATTGTTTATAAAATTAAATTTTGTTTTTTTTAAATAAATTTCTTCTTTTTTAAACTATGAATTAGTTTAAGGGTTTGATTGCAGGTGGAACTAATTCTTATTCAAACTTTAAAATAAAAACTGTATGTTTTTTCTTTATTCTTTGTTAATCATTTTACTTCTTAAATTCCATTTAATACTCTGACTAATGGAGAAATCATTGAAAGAACATTTATAATTTAATTGATGTACTTTTCTACCATTATCTAATGACTACCTTTGCTCACTGCACTTTTTATAGTCACTTATTTTATTCTCAAAAAAATATATAGTTGTAAATGAGAAAAAATTTTTTTAGGAGATTGAACAGCTGCAGGACAAATTGGCTTCAGTGAGCAAACTTGTGGAGGTGTTGACAAATGAGAAGAAGGAAATGGAAATTGAACTGGAGTCTTTGAGACGCGACATGGCCGGTGTGTTGTCAGAAAGAGACAAATACAGACGAGAGAGAAACGATATCAGCGGAATTAATCAGGTATTTGTCGCTGTATTTAAATATTTTGCACTTTGAGGACATGACTTCTATATTACTTGTCATAAATATACAAATGCCATTAAAACACTTACATTATATTGAATGGTATAGTTTACTACCATTTCAACATACAGCTTTATTTAATTAAGCCTTTGAAAGTTGAAGCCCTCAATAAAATGTTAAATCATGCAAAATTTAGTTGTCGTTGACTGATGCCTCACTTAAGTTGTGACGATCTTTATTGTTTCTTGAATAAGCAGGGTTTGAAACATGAAAGGCTGGACTTTCAAAAGCGCATGGAACAGCAACGAGACATTGCTTGGAAAGAACGCAATGAGGCGTATGAACAGATGGAACAAATGGAACAAATTATCAAAGACACTTATGAAAAGACTCACAAGGAGCGTGCTGAAGGGATAGAAAATGTTATTAAAGAATCGGAAAACCTAAAAAAACAGCTGGAAAAATTAAAAATTGATCTGGAAAGTGAGTATTTACAGGAAAGGGAGTATTTACATTAATTTAAGACAGGAAATCATTATGCTTTGTCCTTTTACGTGAGTCTTTATACTAAAGATATATTGACTAATTCTGCTCTATTATTTGAATTGTGGTTAAAATGCTCATTATTAATAAATATTCAATATTTTCATAGATTTGAGAGAACCCCCAAAATGAAATTAAATTTTACTACCACAGATTCTGAGCAAGAAGCTGAAAATGCCAACAAGAACAGAGATAAAGCATTCAGTGAGCGAGATAAAATAGTCCAAGAGAGAGAAAGCATTCGTACTCTCTGTGATAACCTTAGAAGAGATAGGGACCGGGCTGTTAGTGACCTGGCACAAGCTTTGAGAGATTCTGATGAGTTTAAAAGGCAGAAAAATGAGGCAGTGAAAGAGCTCAAAGAAATTAAGTGAGTGATTTAAATGGTGATCACTTTATGGACACTCCTTTAGGCCCCCAAGGTGTGATTGTGTTTCAACTAACCCTGAAAGCAATTTGTGATTCCAGACAATGCGTGGCTTGAGGCTTTTATTTTTTCTGATGCCAGAACCTGGCCTGTTCAGTTAGTTAAAAATATTTAAAATTAAATTGTGCTTTAACTGATTTATTTAGCATAAAATTCATTGCAACAGATTGCACTGACCTAACCTGATTCAATAAAGTTTGAGCTGTTGAATATATTAGTTTTATTACTAGTTCTAAAAAAAGAAAAAAATCATTGAAAGAAGCAACATTTGAGTCCACCCTCAACTCAGTACTTTCCAAACTTTCATGTTGGCGACACACATTCATCCTTTCGTGACACAGTAAGTCGCTTTAAATAGTATATCGAGGATTAAACCAAAACATTTTAAGACATACAGACATAAGCAAAAATTGAAATTAAGTATTGTGTGGGGACACAACATATCTCTTGAAAACCTTTTATTTATGATTCTTTAAAACTAGCTTTATTTGATTTTGATAATAAAATACATTTCGAAAACTGTTGAATTTTTTGAATGAAAATTAATCAATAGTCAAAATGCGCTAGAGTTTATAAACTCTGATTCTGAAACCAGTATTGATATCTGTGGAATGATCTCATTGCAATGTAAACCACTTCCAAATGTGTTATCTGCAAAAGGGATCTTAAGTACTTCGCCAAAATTTAGGCCCGAACATATTTCCAAAAACAGCACAGCAAGATTCATTGAAGTGGTTTTAGCTATAATGTATGGAGCCTTGTTTTTAGCAGTTCTTTGAACAACCAAGAAACCTGCCTCTTAATATGTGTTCATTCTTCATTGTTTTGCTCAATAATGCAGACTGCTTGTTTTTGAAATCTCACTGAAGTATTCAATCAGTTTATGTGACCAAGGACAGTGTTTTGATGTAAAATGACTTGCCAAATTTTTGTCAAATTTTGTGTTTTATACTAATTAATTTTAATTTTGTCAAAAGTTGACTCAGATGATGAGTTGGGTAGCAATTCAGATGTAATTATAGATTACTCATTGGTTAATTATGCTAGCTGCGGTAATAAAGATTCCTGATAACCTAATTTTCATGGGGGGAAGGGGGGGGGGGTTGTGTTGGGATGTTATGTGTTTTTTATGCTATGCGGATATAAAGAGTTAATGATCTGCAATGATGAGAGCAAAACTAATCTGTATAACCTAATAAATATATTATAAGTATTTTATCTTAATGTATAGGTGTGTAACAGGATTAAGATATTTTATGCAATTTTGAATTTAACAGGAATTGCTATGAGGCCTTGGTAGAGAAGGACACTAGACGGCAGCAGCTGCACTACATAGGGCACAACCATAGCCGAGACTCGGCTATTGATGCTGACCTCCAGGACCTAGGCACAGAGACTGTTGAGATCCCTGTAGAGCTGGTAAATGTTTTACAATTTTTGTAAGGAATTGGTTTCTATAAGCAAATAAGATTTTTACTTTTTTAAAATATTTTGTGAAAAAGTTTTAAGATTTTTAAATTAATCAAACTTTTTTTTTCTCTGTTTTTGTTTTTTTTACAAAAACCTTGATTTTTTAAACTATAAACCATGTTTGAACTATCTGTGCTTCCCCTTTTTGTATCAGAAATATGTTGGACCTGGAGAGATGGGTTTTGACATGATTGGTGGTAAGGATGATCCTCAGTTTCACAATGACCCTTCACTGATTGTTAGCCATGTGGCCAAAGGTGGTACAGCCGAGGGCAAACTCCGAGTGAATGACACCATACTGAGGATCAACAGCTTGGATACCATCAATGTAGACAAGAGAACAGCCCTGCAGGCTCTCTGGAAGAGCTCTGGGGCTGTGAGCTTGGTAAATAGGATTTGATGATTTTAAAGTGTACCAAGCCCGTTGAGTTGTTCCACTTCATACTTTCAAAATTTTCAAGGGTATTCAAATAGAATGATTAGGTTGCATTAATTGGAATTAATATTTGGTATTAATGAAAACTGGAAGCTATTCTGAGTGTAAACCTATGTTGCTAAAACTTGCTAACAAAAGTGTAAGAGTGCCTAAACAAACGTCTATTTTTTTACTTTGTGTACCATGATTTATTTTAATTACGTAAATGGCTTATTGAAGTGTCTTCTGTTGTCTTCAGCTTGTGAGAAGGCGGAAGCTTAGCCATGCTAGAATCTGGCAGCCTGTTCAAATTGTGGTAACTTGTCAGAAAGGTAAATCGCCTATTAAAAATGTTTGGCCTGATATTTTTTTTTTTTTTTAAATGTTCCAGTTTTATTCCTGTGTTATAAAAATTTCAGAAACAGTCAATTTGAAAACTGTCACATCCTGTAAGAACCAGGAACATTACAATTAATAATACAATTTATTATAAAAAATATTCATTCGATTCTTAAACCACTTTCTTCTTCTTCTTCTATATCTTAAGGGCCCACGATCAATTTATTGATCATTTTGGCTCCTATGCATGTAGATGGGATTTGCAATGTTTCTGTTACTGGTGTTACTTTTTTGTATAATATATTTTTTTTTGAATAATTTATAATTTTGAAATTTTAAGTGATCTGTATTTAGTTGCTATAATTTACTACTATTTACTATAAATAATTTTTATTTAAAGAGAGTTATAAGCTGACTGCTTTTTATTTAGACTCCGGTATACAGATTGACCAAGGTCTTTTCATAAGTCGAATATGTCCAGGTGGTTTAGTCGCCAAATATGGAATGCTACCTTGTGTTGGAGACAGAATCATTAGTGTAAGTTTTTTTCTACAAAAACAAAAAAATAAGCTACATTGACCAAACATGGGGTAATTTTAGCCGAAATACGTTATCTTTTAATTTTTTGAAAAAGAGATGACAGAATTTTGAAAGTCAGAATTAGCAGAGACTAGGTTATAGACATCAGACTGACTTAATATACTTACCAATGTGTGACATCAAAACATGGATGGCTTGCATGAATTATAACATCGCACAATTACTCAAACAATTGATTAAATTATATACTGAAGGGCTATGTTCTTGTCTTTCTGTTAGATCAACAACACATCAGCTGAAGGCCTTTCAGCACGGGACGCCATGAGGATTTTGGAAACATCCACAGACTCACTTGTATTGGATGTTTGGAGACAGAAATCTCCACTCAGCTCTGCTGGATCTTCACCCACCCCTACCTCAACAGGCATCAACTCCCCACTGCCTGAGGGTATTGCTGTGTCTTGCAGCATGAGCAAGTCTGACACTCTTGCCATCCGCAGCAGTTCATGGGAGACTCCCAGTGATGCTAGTCGAAGTGTTGAGGGTATAAAAATTCTGCAGAGCAGTGGTTCACAGACAGATAGTTTAGATAGCCCTGGGCCAAGTCCACGGAAGGCTCTACGCAGTCAAGAAAATGACAAAGTCAGGCACAGTTTGCCCATGCTGGACAGAGCTAAGGAAAAAGTAGAGAATTTTTTCAAATCTCGTCATAAGAGTCAAGAAAGAGAGAAAGAGCAAGAGGACAAGAAGGATAAGGTTGATGATGGGTTGCATGAACAGGGAAAATCCCTTCACAAACTGGTAGAGGACTGCAGTACTCAAGTTAATCTACAGAGCACAGAAAACGTCATTGCCGAATTCCCAAACAATACTGTGTATACACAACTAAACAACCACAGCAATGCCAATAGTGAAAACAGGCCCTCAAGATCTTCTCGTAAAGGAGAGCTAGATTTTGATAGTAACAGTGGGACCTGGCCTAAAACTAGAGGCCAGCAAATCAGTAACACATCTGGACCACCTACTGTTATTTTTGCTCCTGGTCATAAACCATTTAAAGAGCGACCAAGCATCAAAGATGTTTTTACCATCAATCCTGACAACTGCCCCTCTTCCCATCATAACTCTCAAACGCTGGACTCCAATAAATACTTTGCTACACCAGTGGCACAGTCATCGTCTGCGTTCTCACCTACCACCCCTACAACATCGCAGTCTGTACATAACCTTCCCCCAACACTCACAACGCCCGTGTCCTTTGCGCCATTCTCCATTCCAGTGTCTTCAAAATCTCAGTCTCACTTCTCAGTGGGCATCATGCATCCCCACGCGGGCATCGTAGCTGGTCGGGGGCCGCCCGCTTTTGTCAACCCCACACCAGCTCAGAGGTATGGGACTGTGCCCTCTCATAAACATGGAGTGCCCACACGGAGCTTGGTGTCCTCACATCAGCCATGCATACAGCCAGTTGTTATACCAAATGGGAATTCTGTGCCACAGGAATTCAAATTCGATTCATCTAACCCTAGAATAGCAGCTAAAGGTCAACAGGTAATTTCTTTATTTTGTTGTCTAGTCTTTTAATTAAGCTTTAAATACTGTCATAAATTTCCTCTTTATCATTAATAATCTCAAACTAAAGGCAGATAAGGCTGATTTTAAAGCTGCTATTGCTCTGTTCTAGTTCTGTGGTCCCATTTGTAAAAGTTGGAAGAAATTTTGTTGTTTCTAACCCAACCCGTTTATTCAAGAACACCACTTGGATTATTTCCTAAAATCTTTGAGAAGTTAATGTTTGTGAGGCAAAGTTTCTTCCGCTAATGACCTGTGCTAATTTGATTTTGATGACTATTCTTTTAATTTTTGAAGTTATTGTTAGTAAAATAATTGTTTCCAATTACTCTTTTTAAACTTAAGTTAATTAGAAGCTATTAAAATGAATTTTAACAGGGGAAATCCCGCAGACCAACATCTGTTCCACATAAACCAGACTTTCACTGGCCAACTCAAGCACCCATTAACTGGACACCTGGTCGTATCCCCTCTGATTCACCCATCAGCCAACCACAAGTACAAAACCTGGGTGGGCAAAGTCACCATTTAAGTAGCTCACCAGGAAACCTCAGCGGGTCTCTAACGAATGGGAGTGGGCTACCTCACTACTATGTTGGAGTCAACTCCCCATCATCCCATATGCTGTCCAGCCCACCACCCTATGGAATGAGACCAGCCTCTATAGAGGTACCCCACTCTATGAAGGTGACTGACTTTGCCAGTGATATATATGATAGACGTCGAATGGCTTCACCTGTTGCCCAGGGATTGATTGGGCGTCCACCAACATACCATCAGTATCATCCTATCTCTACAGTGTAAGTACTGACCGATTTTTATGCAGCTTTTTGCTCTTTAAAAATAATACGGAACTATTGTGTTAAAATGCTTGGTCAAGTTAAAAATGTTTTAATGCTTGTTAACTATGAAAAATGTTTATTGTTCATTACTTAATGTGCAATTGTATTCAAGAAAAATTTTACTTAGCTTTGATTAGCAAGGACATCTTACATTTTCCCAATGCCACCTAACTGTAACAATGAAAATTATAACCATTTTTCCTACTGTTAATCGCACATTTGATGGTGCATCCGGGGCATAAATGTAGAAAAGCTGTAAAGTAGTTTTTGTTCTAAGAAAACACTTAAAACATTAAAAATGGTTTTCCCTTGAAAGGAATTGCTGTCCTTGAATTGATAATTTTCTTCAACGCTGCTACTCACTATGAAACAGAAGAAAAAAATGTTTAAATACTTAAATGGTACCACACAGGAATTTTATTAATTATTAAAGTGAGTTGAACAATTCTAAAACGTCAGGGTTTTTAATGTTTCCTTTTTATTCTGGTAGCTGTAAATGAACCGGAAAGATGTTGCTTTTTTTCTGCCTAGGCAATAAATTTTTAATCCTACACCAAGTTCAAAGCAGTCTTCTGACTTAGGTTGTTGAGATTTTTAACGCAAAGTTTAACTCCTCAAGAAATTTGTTTTTTATTATGAAGCTTTGGATCATTTCATTGATCTTATAAGGTTCTGCTAAGCAAATGTTTCACTTGTATTTTTTAGCTCATCCTCTTTGGGCTCAGCTTCTCAACACCCAGTCCTCTCTTCTCCAAATGGAACATTCCCAGTAATAAGTCCATTAGACTTGGAGCATGAGAGACCTTTGTCTTTCCATGGAGCACCCACTGATCGCTACAGCTCACCAAGTCCATCTCAAAAGGTATGTTTTTTTCTGTTTTGTGTCTGTCAATACTGTCATGGAGATTAAAGAAAAAAATCTTTCTTCAGAAAATTAAGATGGTGCAAAGCTCAGGGTCATTATGTTTGTATGTATGTATGTATTTTAATCAGTAACTTTATAACAAGAAAAGCACACAATAGATCACAACCAAATTTGACATGGTCATACCTCCTGACCTAAAGAGGGTTCCTGAAAAATTTTGGTCAAAATCCCTTTATCCCAAAAGCTGTATTAATTACAAAATAGTAAAATCTAGAGAATAATGCTGAAATAATTTAATTTTCAAACAGTTTTATGATGCCACTATAAATATCTGGGAAGTTATAAGAAAAATGAATTTTAATAAGCCATTATTCAGAATGGTGCGCTTGTAAACATGTATTAAGCAAAGGATTTCGCTTTTAAAGATACATCAAAAGAACAAATTATCAAATATGTGGGCTTCGGGGGCATTTTGGGGAGTTTGCTCCTGCGAGATTTAGTCAATGTAAGCCACTGGTATGTTTTGTTTGGCGCACCCATCTTTAATAAGGCTTCTTTCATGATGTTTACAGAACTGAACTTTAAAAAATATTTGAAATAATTTTTTTTTCAAAAGATATTAAAATATTATTATTATTATTTAAATTTTATATCATTTTAAGAAGCTACATTTCATTGTATAGGGGGGGTTGACCTTTAGATTAGAATATCACATAGTTCAGCAGCATGCATAAAGGTGTCATTAAGGGTCAACCTCCTGGGCGTTCTTTTATTAAATTTTTATTACCAACTTTGCATACTATGTGTGCTTAAGGGAAAATCACATGTTTGGGATTTAGCCCCAGTCAGCATTAAGTCAGATTATTCCACCAAATGGATGGTTGCATTTTATGAATATAACAATTCTCAAAGGCTCAATTTGTTACACACGGAACCATTTCAGTCCATAGTTTATTTCCTTTTTTTTATATCAAATTTAGTGCATTTTGTAAGTTCATTGAAAGTTTATTAAAGACCAAACCCAATAATTTTCTGTCTAAATTTTATTACAATACTGACACAGTAGTGTTACAGTAAAAAGCTGTGGAAGACACTAAACAAGAAAAACAATGTAACATCATTTTCTTTAATATGTAAATGTTGATTTTTAATGCATGACTTTAAAAAATTGATCTCTTATTGAGATTTCAGATGTTCATCCATGTATCTTTCTGGTATAATATTTATTGACTATGTAGGTGAAAATGTGTTGTAAGCTATGTCTGTTTATACTGTATATGTTTCTACATCAGTTGATATATCTTTATCCAATTTGACGTGCATAGTTATTACACTTCATTATCCAGGAGGAAATACTGAGTATTTTGGCATTTTTAAACATATCCTGTTCAGGACCATGGACCAAAATTTCTTTTTTTAATGAACTGTAGAAAAAAAATTACAAAAAAATGGATTCATCTCGACTAAACTTGGTACACTGCATTTCTATATTGAAATACTGGTGAATTTGGACTTATATTATTTACCACCTTTGGGACCTAGTCTCTCATTTAATTTTTCCATATGTAGCCATATAAATACCAGTAGTCGGCTATGATAACAATTTAGGGTTCTACATAAATTTTTGGATCTGGGCCAAACTTGGTAGGCCTAAGCTTCAGATACCATTTGCTAGTGGGTTAGATTCTAAACTAGTAATACCCACTCCTGAGGCCTATTTATTTCTACCTAGGTGTAAATAAAGATTATTGAGATTCTACAATTTATTTTTGTTATAAAAGCCAAAGCTATACACTATACACATTGGCTTAGTTAAAAATGTAAGCTTCTACTAGAATTGTTGCATCTTGTTTAAACTTGATAGAGATACCTGTCATAATCCCTTTTAAAATATCTGTTAAATTTTTAACTATTAATTTCCATTCCTTTTTTGGTAGGTTACCAAATTTTAACTTAAATAATACACTATATCTTTGGTGTTTTCAACCAATTTTAATGGGGAAATGTTGAAAGTAAAATAGTCACTGCTGTAAAATACATAATACAAATTAAAGGACTGCATTCAAGCCAAGTAAATGAATGAAATAACAAAACGAGGTATGTGGAAGCTTGAATAAGAGAACAGGACAAAAAGATTAGGACATTTTGGCATAAATCCTTCTTCAGCTAACAGTAGACATTAAAATATCACAAAGAACAGAGCACCGTAAGCAACTCAAGAAATATCCATTGTTGTCGCCGGAAGTCAACAGTGGATATTTCTTGAGTCCTAATCTTTTTGTCCTGTTCTCTAATTCAAGCTTCCACATACCTTGTTTTGCTGTAAAATACAGCCGACATCCCCAATAGTACAAATTTAAAAGGCAACATCTTTGGCCAAATCCATCTGGATAAATTTGAACTTATCTGAATAAGTTTTATACAGAGCCCCTATCTTAGGGACAATTAAAATGGTCTGTAATGAAATGGGCTCCTGCCAGGAATCCTAATTTATTTTATTTGATGAGGAGCCATAGCTTTAACATTGGTGAATACCCTTTTTTAAATAAGACATCTTTAAAAAGTCAGATTGTTCTTGAATTCATAGTTTTTGGCTGTGCCCAGCTTGAAAATTAACTGAAACTGGCTTCAATGTTTACAAGAGTTAATAAAAAATCCGGATTATTTATAGGATAATATTTTTAATTGTGATTTGTGCTTCAGCAAAGTATTTTTTGACAGTGTCCTAAATTTACATGTTTTCTGATAAACTTTAGAATTTGTTTCTTTCACGCATGGAAACCTGAGCAATGCCGGTTGAATTGGCTAGTTATAAATATTGTTAGTAAGTTAGATAAGGCTCTGACATATTACTATTATTTAATGATTTTTTTTTCTTCATTAGAGCTATAGCACATTGGATCGTATCACACCAACGATAAGTGAAGAGTTATACCCTACTAGATATCCAAGGGGATCACCTCACAGTAGAGCTTTCCTTGATGAAGATATACGCCAAGCAGCTTTTAGCAAGAGAGACAGTGTGTTTGATAGATTTCGGATTCCTTCAACCACAAGTGTAAATACGAAATCGGGATCTGTAGAAATTGGTAATTAAAACAACTTTTCTTAAAAACAGTTAATAAAAATAAAATAACTCCCAGTCATAATCTACATTTGATATATTATAAGCCATATAGAACTAATTTTTCCTAAGATCTCTTGTTCAAACTAAAAGTTTTTTAACAAAAACATATTTTTTTTTTGTACAGTGATTAATCTTCAGAAAGATCTGCTAAATTATATGATAGATTAGCATACTTCATTAGTAAAAGCTGAAACTCATTAATATAAAAGTAAACTTTTAGAAAAATTAAATCCTTTTTATTTTTGAAGAAATCATCCATCTCTCTTTTATCTCTTAGTGTCTGACAGAAGCAGCCCAGGCTCTCCAATGTTTATTGACAACAGGGCATCAATGAAATACACTCATTCACGAAACAGTGATGAATATATTTACAGGCGGAAAATGTAAGTGGTGAATAAATACTGATACATTTATTGATTATACATCCCAACTGTCAACACAAAATTTGATTTTTTTGTTTTACCTCTGCTCCTTTGTGTAAAAATATTGTTACAAATTTTTAGGCTGCCTTTTATTGAGTAGAATAGGTTGAAAGTCATAGATAATTAAAAGTTAAGGTAGTATCTTGTAATTTTGAGTAACAATACATTTTTTTTTCATTGGCTTCCCTCATCAAAATCATTAAAAAGATAAAAGTTGTAAAAGATATTTAAAGTAAAAACAATAGAACTTGCTAGACTGCCTCATTTTAATTCAACAGTTCCTATTCTAAAAGCCTACTTGTTTTATCAACAGTTCCTATTCTAAAAGCCTACTTGTTTTATCAACAGTTTCTATTCTAAAAGCCTAATTGTTTTAATTCAACAGTTTCTATTCTTACAGGCCTAACCATCATGAGACAAGGGATATAACTTTTGAGAAAAGCTCCAAACCCGTAGGTTTTAAGATCCAGCGAGGACCATCGGGAGGCATTTTTGTGTCTTCTGTTTATGACAACAGTTTGGCAGCACAGGCTGGTCTAGTCATTGGTGACCAGTTGCTTGAGGTGAATGGAGATCATAAGCGCAACCATTTTTTTAAGGCATCTAACAAGTCATTTAATAAACAAGGGTCCGTCTAGGAATCTCAAGAAAACTGATTACTAAAGACCTTAATGTCCATTTTTTTTATCATCTTACCCTGTATTTAGTTTGTGGTTGTTTCTCAAAATGAACTATATCCAGTTTATCTTCAAAATCAATGCATTTATTTACTAAATATGTCACATTGGGCCGTCGAGCATGAGCTCTTAATGCCGTTCCCGACACACCTCCACACAGCCCATACGCGGGGCCTCCCCGACGCCACACCGTGTGGCAGCACTCCAGGGACCTCTCCAGACCTGGACCGCCCCCATCCGCAACCGATCGATCGGATTTGCGGATGGAGGCCCGGGGATGTCCGGTCGGCTTAAAACGCGTTTAAAGCGTTCACAGCCCACTTTCCAGGGAGTCGGGATGGTGTTTTAACGTCCCAATATCTTCCCCCACCCATCCCGGGGAAGTGACAGATGCTCTCTAATAGGGGTTCTACCGTGTGTTCCACCTGGCAACTAGTTTGCAACGTAGCTGGGTATTTATAATCTTCGGCCTGAGGCTTAGCTTCTCGCCTCATATCCATTAGCGGCAACTTGTAATCATGATACCTGCCCTATCTCTGCCTTTATTTCAAACTTTAAAACGTCACAGTTGGCAGCCCTGTAGGTGCTATTTTTTTCCTGCAGGTACCGTGCATGACCTTGTCTGCCCACTCGGACACGCAATGGTGGTCTTGTTCCCCGGGTAACGTCGAGGGGGTCAAGTGGCAGACGCCTCCTAATTGGCAAGCTGCCACAGGCTTTTTAACCAGAGCCCCGGGGAGGCATCCATTTACTGAATTGGCCTCTTTATATTTACATCGTGTTACACCTTTAGACTTGTTGCTAAATGTAATTATTGCATTTTTTTTTTTTACATTTATTATTATACAGTGGAATTATTTTATTGTGAATTTCTGAATACTCTTCTTGCAACGCAGTTTATGCAAAGTTGGTGGGGACTTCTAATTTCACAAATAATTTTAAAATAATTTTGATGCCAACTATATAGAGTTTTACAGGCCTGATTACTCAGTCAAATTGATTTTAGAATTAAATCCCCCCTCAAATTTTATTTAAAGTAGAAAAATAGAATTTTAGTTTGAACAATTTAAAAAATATTTTTTTATAGAACTATAAGAGGCAGCAACTAAACGTTTGCCATTAAACAACAAAACTTTACTCTAAATGGGGGAGATTCAGTTTTCCATCAAATTAGCAGAGCTCCAAAATATATATATTCTTTTACATCTTGTAGTTGAAGCTGCATTGTAATTTTTAAAAAAAACAATAAAAACACTACATTATGTTTTTATATTCCTCTAAGAAGAAAGAGAAAAACAAGCCAAGTTGGCACATTCTTTTAGGTCAGTAGATGATGCCAGCAATGTTGACCGACAAGATGATGCTAGCAACATTGACCGACAAGATGATGCCAGCAATGTTGACCGACAAGATGATGCTAGCAACATTGACCGACAAGATGATGCCAGCAATGTTGACCGACAAGATGATGCCAGCAATGTTGACCGACAAGATGATGCCAGCAATGTTGACTGACAAGATGATGCTAGCAACATTGACTGACAAGATGATGCTAGCAACGTTGACCGACAAGATGATGCTAGCAATGTTGACCGACAAGATGATGCTAGCAACATTGACCGACAAGATGATGCCAGCAACGTTGACCGACAAGATGATGCCAGCAACGTTGACCGACAAGATGATGCTAGCAACATTGACATTGTGACATTTATAAAAAAAGCATAAAAATACCAAAAATTCATCCGCTTTTAAATGAGTAGGAAAACATTAAATAATATATTATGTATTTGAAACTTCAGGTGTGTGGGATCAACATGAGAAATGCCAACTATGAACATGCTGTTACTGTCTTAAGACAATGTGGTGATAACTTGACCATGAAAGTCCAATATAATCCAGAGAGTAAGTTTCATCTTATACAATTTGAAGTTTAATGGCTGTTCAGTTACTTTTAGAGCTAATCTATCAGCTTCGTCTTAAACATCTATATCATATGCCATTTTTATATATTTAGAATACACTGACCACCAGGATGTGTCCAGCAGTGCCACTTCCATCAACTCCACCTCTCTGACTACCTCCCCAAGCCATTCCAACCAAACCACCAATGAAAGATCCACAGCCAAACGTCAGCCAAGTCCTACTAAAGGCAGAACTCAAGGGTAGGTGTTTGGCAATGTGAATTAAATGGCATTAAGGCTTACACAAAAATTTCATTATTAAATAATGTCTATCCTTAACGTAAACTTAGTGATATCAAAGAACTCCATTAAAATACATTTTAAAATTTATTTTCATAATTAACTTAATTTAGATTATCTTTATTAGAAATTTAATAATTTAAAATTAGTAAAATGCTCAAAGTTCAACAGGTAACTATAAAATTATTTGTATCTCTTCTTTTATTGCATTATTTTATTATGCTTGCTCCTATTTGTTGCCATTTTATTCACTTCATGTTTTGGCCAATTTTGTATGGTTGGGTGGTAAGATCACCTGTAACTATCTCTGGTTCACAGAAAGCTGAAAATTGGTACGAGGGTCGCTTTTTAGCTATCAAAATTTAGGCTAACCTCAATTTACCCGTTTTAAAATGTAATTATATACATTTCAAATTGGTAGTAACAGCAGTTTGGCAGGGTCTAATAGTTTAATGATGCATATCGAGCGGTAACTTGTGTCCACAATCCATCATTTCCTTTTCTTGCACGCCTCTGAACAAAATTTAAAATTTGCAAGCTCAATGCTAAGAAAAAATTTGTTCATAAAAGACATTTTTTTTTTCTCTTTTGTTGTTGCCCACCAAAGTGCTGCATGTTAATCTATCTAAAGTTTTCAATGAGTGTTTTAATGTCATGACACAAGGCATTAAGGAATTAAACTCTACAAGGTTAGACGTCAAAAGCTTTAATTAAAGTCATATATAAGTACTCTACAAAACTACCTTGGCTTGAAGAACTATTTGAAGCAAAATGCACTTGTAAAACTAAGATAATTTTGGAGGATACATCCCACCCTCTTCATCACAGATATTTAAGATCAGCCTCATCTTCCCCTCAAAGCTAGGTCCCAAGATACCTGGCTTTATCAAAATAAAACAATCAAATCAGTATTGTCCCTAAGGGAGAGAGGTTTTATTGTATATGATGGCTGGCGTTTGCGCTTGAGAAATACATCAGATGTCTCGCGTTTAAATTGTTCAAGTTTCCAAATGTCGTCTTGGTACAAGTGTTGAAAATGAATGTGTACAATTTAATCAAAACACATTTCCATTTATTTGGATCGATAAAAGAACCTTGTATCCCAAATGTATAAATTGGGTAAATTTCATTGTTATTATTTTCTCATTTCAGTTCGGGTGACATCAATGTGGATATTCGCCGCTACATTACACTTAAGAAAAGTAATCCCAACATGATAGGGCCTGGTTTCTCATTTGTTGGTGGCAATGCAGTGGGGATTTTTATAGAAGAAGTCTATCTAGACTGTTTCGTTGGGGGAACACATTCACTGCAGAGAGGGGACCAACTTTTAGAGGTTTGATTTTTTACAATTGACTTAAAGTATTTAGTTAATTTCTAACACCCTTAAGAAAAGGCTTTAATTCTGAAAGAATAGAATTAGTTTGCTTTTGTTGAGTCAAGCTGCTAAATAAGTATTAAGCTTCATATCAAAACAAATTCTTTCAGGAAAGAATTGGATATTAGTACTCTTTCGTACTATATTATATTCTCTGTAAATCAAACTAAAGCTATTTGACTGTTTATCGAACATACTGATATAGTAACAGAGACAAACTTTGTCAGTGCAAAATGCATGGAGATAATTAAAAATATTACGTTTTATTTTTAAATTCATACATAGATATGCAGTAGAGCATAGATTTTCTTATCTCAGATTATCTAAAAATTGTCAGAAATACTGTCCCTGCATTTTATAAATTATTATTATCCCAAACATCATGTGCAACTCTGGAAAATATGATCTGTAAACTTTTTAATTAACCCTCGAACTGTGGCATGCATCATTCTGTGGTGTGGAGCTTTTCAGAGCTTTTTGAGTGCCTTTTGACATTGCGTTAAAGGACATAGAAATATTGATACAAGATCCCTATAAGTATGTATTTTTATAAAGGTAACTGGATGGGATAAAGTTGGCCATATTGCCCACCATGTAAAAAAAATTTTGCTCCGTGTCCTTGACATTGGACTTCTCAAGAAAATAAAAATCGACAAAATTTCTTGCTTTCAAGTGCTAATAACATCATTAAATTTTATAGATACACTTAAAACACAAATCTAAATGTTGTAGCCAATTCATTTATCTATCAGAAAATGTATAGTTTGCTAAGGATGATTGAATTTTTCACAATTACACATCTGAAAGCAATTTTAGTAATTTTAGGTCATTTATATAAGAAACTGGGACCACTGCTAAAACAAAGTACAAAATACAAAATCTCTGGCAAAAAAGTTATTATTGACTAGTAAACATTTAAAAAGGAACTGTGGATCTGATATGGGTTGTTAACATATAAAATGTATTAGCTCTGATCTATAATCTGTAGCTTCTGTGACTAAAATTCAGTCAGTCCTTGCTCAACCACCGTGCCTGGCTCGAAGTCAAACAGTAGCCTCAGTAGGCCTACTTCAGTATCACTAAGACTAGTATCAGATTCACGAAAAGAAGAATCTGAAATGAGATGTCATGGGGATTGTTAAAAACATCATCAGTATCACTTAAATCCTCTCCTAAAAAGCTTTCAAAAATATTTTTATTAGTTCTCACACTATAGGCCCGGCCATAGCTTCCGCCATTTTTGCTTTTAAAAAAACAGCGATATAAAATTCCGATTAAAAAGTATTTATTGTTAAGTTATCAAGAAACAGCTTGAACCGGAAGTTGATTTAGTTATTAATAAAAGGTAATGGCTCCGATTTGGGTTAAATATTGGATTGGAAGTTGCTATCGGACTGTGTTTTTTATCGGCCGAATTTTTTGGCTGCCACAGCATGGAACGAGAATGTTGGCTAATTTCGTCAGCTGACCACAGTTCAAGGGTTAATGTTTAGCACAGAATACAAGCCTGCAAGGACAAAATGAGCTCTGTTTATATTCTAAGCTCCGGTCATCTAAAATAACCTATTGACATCAAAACAAATATGTTTATATTTTTACATTAATCAGCTGACCCCAATTGACCATGTGATATGATTAATTCACTGTACAATAAAGCACCATATGTGTATAATGATAGGGCAATGGTCATCAACCCACAGCTCTTTTCATTATTAAATAAATTTTTTTTATAAATAATGCCATTTTAGCAAGGAACTAGCTGCAGTTACTATAGTGTATTACTAATACATACTGGGTATCTAATCTTAGGACATTAGTCTAAGTTTTATGCGGCTGACATCTCAATCTTATTTTGAAGACCAAACATCAATTAGTGTACACATGTTGTTCAATTCTAATAAACTTGTGGTCGTTAAAACTCTACTGGTACTCATAGTTTGGGATTCAATCTCAGGCATTGAGTTTTTTTACCTCATCGAATTTTTTTTAATACATTTTGTTTTTCATTTGAAAAGATATTTTATAATTAAATTATTATATTCAACTGAAAAAATTGTAATTTATTTTGTCAAACTGGAAAAAAAATTATAATTTATTACTGTGAAATATTTTAAAAGTACATTATGTGCTCAGGTTTAGTGTTGTAACCTTTACAATTAAAGATGAGCCTGCCATTAAACAATTGGCCCTATCTGCGGGCCCCCAAAATGTCTTCCTAGCGGATATAACTTAGAAAATGTCTCTCTTCGCTTAAAAAAGGTTGAGACCCCTGCTATGGCGTAAGACAGGATTTTATTTTATTCACTATCTTCTTACCTTGGGAGCGTTTGCTTATCTGAAAAGTAATAGGTTATCCAAACAAGCCCAGGTCCCAATTAGTTTGGAAAATCGACACTCTTCTTTAATGGCCACCTGAGACATAATCCTCATCTTGAGTTAAACTTAGAAAATAATGATGCATCATGGTCATGGTGGGGGTTCTATTTTGGTTTACTTCTGAACAATAATCTATAATTAGAATCAGATATATCTATGCCAGGTTTATGTTATGGAAACCCATCACAAGTTTCACTAGCATTTAACCTGTTAGATATACTTTCAAACATCACAGCCGGTACATGGTACTTTTGTCATTTCAGTTTAACTCAGTGGACTTCCGTGCCGTAACAGCTGAGAAAGCCATGATGGAACTAAATCTGCCTTGTGCTACAATGCAGCTTTGTGTATTTTACAACTTTGCTAGTAAGTCAATATGTCAGGTTGAATATCAGCAGCAACCAGGCTAGGAATGTTTTCATTGAATTTTTCCTAATTTATTTGTGCAAGTTTATTTGCTTATTTTGTGTGCATATGTCACGATAGATTAGACAGATATTTTTATCACCTCACCAGTTAGCAGCCGATTCTGACTTTAGATGGCTAATATCTATTGAGTTTACCGCCACTTCACCAGTTAATAACACATTTCTTGATATAACTTTTTTTTTTAAATGTCATTTTGTATGCTTTACAACCTTTCTAGTTTGAGTGAGTTTTTCTCTCTTTATAGTTAGATAATGCATATGAAAAACAAAAATTAGGATATTTAAAATATTTTTTTAGTGTCCAATTCTCCTGGAAATTTTAAAAAATATTTTGATTATAGCCAGTTGTTATTTTTTTCAGACCTTAATACATTAACACCTAAACATTTATTGATTTGTTATTTCCCTGAGATTCTGTCTCAGATTAATTGACACATAAAAGAGGTGGTCTTAAATGTCCTGATACTTGTTTCTTTTACGTGTATATGCATGCTGTAAATATGTTTTTATTTTTACATTGATTATCTTCATACATAAATCAGATTTATATTATGTGTATATTTATTCACTTTTTGGGGTTTAATTTGGATAAAAACTTTGTATGATGTTTCAGAAAGAAGTTTTGGGGAAGAAATATGTTATGGGCATACTTATTAAAAAGAGATAAGTGACTACATTTGCTTTAATTGCTGTTATTAAACGGTACTAAAAGTCCATGTTAACACATCATAGATTATTTTTGTGTTGCTTAACTTTCAGAATACAACAAAATTCAAGGCATACCTTGCGATAGCTTCTATATTAGGGCTAACTTCGATCGCCTCAGTGAGAATGATGAGGAACTGGGATTCCGCAAGGATGACATCTTGTATGTTGACAATAGCTTGTACAAGAATCAATTGGGCACATGGTTCGCCTGGCTAGTTGATGAACAAGGAACAAAGCTGAAAGGTGGCGTAGTCCCAAGTCGTATTAGGTAATATTTTCACACATTAATTTTGAAAAGGTAAAATTTATTAACAGTCATGTTACATCAATACCTTCGCAATGTCTTCTTGATAAATCAGTTTTAATATTAGCGTTAGTTGCTTATGTCCATAAAGCTTAAATCAAGTTAAAATTCAACATGCAGTTACCAAATTTAAAGTACTATTATACTATTACTTTTGGACCAAATTCAACTGGTGCTCATATGCATGCTATGGGTTTAATTACAATCATAGTTTTGAGAGTTTAATATTCATTAAAATGTCTATTCCCTCCGCGTTGGTTTTCTATGAAGGTTGTATTGCCCTTCAGATTAAGATGTTTTCCATTTAAGGATTAAAACATCACTGCAGGTTTTTCATTTTTTATTTTCCTCCTGCTTTCTCTCCGCCCCCAGACTGGAGGATGAAATGGTTCTAAGAAGGACATATTCTGAGAGCTGGAGTCTCCATGAATCTGAAGACCTGAAGGGCTCGAGAAGAGGTTCAGCATCAGCCAGGCGGAGCTTCTTCCGCAGAAAACGTCACCATCGCAACAACTCTAAAGAAAGCCAAGAGTTTGGCTCATTTTCTGATGCTTCTCTCAATAGTGATTCTGTGCCCATTCTTGATGGTATGGACTCTTTGCCATATTTAATGGGCAAACATGAGGGCTAAAAGGCTCATATCAAATGTTGATACTCATTTCCACAATTAATTTCTTACTCATGGGGAATTTAAGCATTAAAATATAGGAGTGTTAAACTGAAAAAGATTTAAACAATTTTGGTGAAGAATTTTCAACGTATTTTCGATTCAGTACAAAAGATTTTGTTTTTAGTTTATTTATATTAAGATTGGCAAAGTCTATACATTTCAGTTGGCTCTTTGACAATGCTCAAAACAGTACTGACTGTTTAGACTGCATAGAAACATACAGGCCAATGTTTTTGTTTTTCCTATTATAATTGAAGCCATCAACTTTTTAAAAAAAGCTGTATATTATATGAGCTTTTTATTATTAATGGATATTATATGAAATAAAGTGCGGCCACACAATCATATGTGGCCTGCTTTCGCGAAAGGATTTTCATTCATTAAGAAATATTCTCCTATCAATTTATGAATACCGTCGCACACTTTTTAAAAATTGTTCCATTTAATGAAGCTATATCATGTATATTTTTTCAAACGTAAATAAACAAAATATTTTGAATGAAAAATGGGTTGCATTTATGTCTCTTAGTTGCCTTAGCCAATGGCTGATAGCATATTGTGAGAAATATGATTTTGTAAACAATGCTATATTTAAAGAGGGATTTTCATTTTTTAATATTTTTTTTTACCCTATGCTTTTGCCTTAAATATTTTCTGATTGGTTTATAAAAATAAATACTGTGCTTCAAGAAGGGAAAGATTTTCTGCCTTTAAGTTCGATGCATAACCTGATGGGGCACGGCGCAGGATATTGAATGAAGATACGCTTAATAAAAAGCTCAATATTTGGGTAAAAGTGTGAAGGCATTTTAACAAATGGTCATTCAAATAATTATTTTAAAATATTTCTAGGTTTAATGAAATATAATTAGCACTATAATATGATTTAAAATTGGATAGCCTATCTAATTAAAAAATAATTTTATTTTCTCCCAGATCAACCCCAACCTCTTAAAAACGCTTGTAGCTGGGAGCAGCTCTAGGGACTTATCTAACCTTTCTTAATTTATCATTTTATATTAAATTATTATGCTATTTTAACATCAATATTTAAAAATGTTCCTTTTACCTTCTGTTAATTTTTTTAAAATTATTTTATGTCATTCATAGATTCTATTCTGGGGTATACTCAAGTAGAAAAGATAGAATGTAAGTATGAGTTGTAATGTCTTAATTTTAATCATCCCATGATAACTGTTATATCATTTATTGATTTGCCTAGGAAAACAGTCAAATCATGGTCACCTGGTCCTGTCTATATACAGATTTAATGCATCTCGAGACAGCTACACCTGTACAGAGAATGACAGTAATGATAATGATCTTTCTATGGTTTCAGTTAAGACAGTTCGACCTGTGGTACTGTTGGCACCCTTAGCTGAAGCTCTTATAAGAAAACTGGAATCAGAATCCCCAGATAAATACAGATATTGTGAGCCAAGTAAGTTATTTTACATTTAATGTTGTCATATAGACATTTTTTAAATATACTAATGTTTTCTCTTTGCGGGGGGGGGGGGGGCGCACTCTATAACTGTCATTCTTTAACAAATCAGGAAATGAGTAAAACAAAGTATTTTCAAACTTGAAAAAAGGAACTCAACAAAACAACCAACGTGTCGCAAAGAAATCTTCGTTTGCGAACAAACAACAGAATAAATAGAATAAAATTAAAAAATAGCACTTAGCTGAGAAGTAGTATCCGAGAGGGCTGCAAAAGAATTGTGGAATTGTAATCTCTCCCCTTATGACCATTAAACAATTATAATGCATCTTCGTTTACAATGCAGTATACTTTAGAAACTAGCTGGAGCTTATGTAAAATATGGGAAGAGGTGCATAATCTTCAATAATAATTCAAGATGGTGCTCATTTATCCACCAATGCTTGACTTGATTGTTTTGACTTTTGATGTGTTGTTTTTGTGCATTTTTTGCGTGTGATGGGAAGCAGCGAAGTCATTTTTAAAAAAATTAAATCAAAACTCTTTATAAAATCTGTAAGTAGGTTTTTACAAAAACCTTAAGAATCTGTTTCCTTTAACGTATGCCAATCTAATCCTTAACAGCTCCAACGAATAACTCTCCTGCCACTTTGGAGCAGTCATTAGCAGAGGGTGTATTAGTTGACTTCTGGAAAGAAGATGATAGCTACCAGTGTATCAAAGCCTCAGCCATCAAAGAAATCTGTGATAGTGTGAGTAAACTTGGTTGTCTGGCAGGATTGGTCAGTTACAAGTTGTGGTTAATTTCATTATTTTAAATCATTCAAAAAAATTTTTTTTTTTAAATTTATTTAACTTGTTCAATATTTAATGCAAACCACCCAGGAATCACATTACTTTTTGTTTAAAATCTTGAACCACAGAATGTCCACTGCCTTCTCAGTGTCAGCCCATCAGCCATAGCAAGACTTCATCAGTCAAAAGTATATCCCATTGTCATCTTTGTGCACCATAAAAGTGCAAAACAAATAAGGTGGGCTTATAAAAAAAAATATATGTCTTTTTTGTTTTGTTTTGTCATCAAAGTATTGTATTGAAAGAAGCCTAATCATTCTTTGTGATTTTTTTTATATCTACTCTTTGGTGTTAGCCTGCTGTATCTGTATTGTCAAATCAAAATAACCCAAAATGCAGATTTACGTTATTGCAAGAGTAGGGATTGGAATATACTTGGTGCAAACTTATACCGATTCTTTTTCCTGGTCTGGCCGTGTGTACTTTTTATATTTATAATCACAAATATTTTTTTTTTTTATATTGAAAGATCTTAATAAAAACAGCATAAAGTATATACGAATTTGATAGATGAAGTTTCGGGGCTTTTGGTATTTTGAGATGCTTTCTTATTTCATGGCCTAAGCCATAGCTTCATATGAAAGTAACCACAGCTTTGTATGTTTGCCTATGATTTTAGAGATATTCGAGACCCCCAGTTTTTAAAGGACAGAGCCACCAATAAGTGGGCCAAAGAACAGTTTGAAAGTTTCCAAAAAATGGAACAGGATTATCATCATCTGTTCACAGGTAATTTTTTTTTTTTTCATTCTCTATCAGTCTTGTGAGTTTTATATTTTCTCACTTCCTCCTGGTTCCTTCATAATCTAATATGAAACAGAAATTACATTAATCCAACCACTTTAAATTATCAATGCTAGGGAAAATAGAAATATTAAGCTTTTATGTTTCTATTTACAGAAATGAAATTTTGTTAAAGAAATTTGTTGCCAATAGTATGCTAAATAGTGTTTAGTGCTTTTCATACTCCCTGAAGTTGCTTGTGCTATAGTAATGAAACATTTATTTTTTTCTCCCTGTCAATCATCTGAATTGATTTTTCAGCTAAAATACAAGGAGGTAACCTAGCCGAAATGTGCATGCAGATCAAGAATTCAATCTCGATAGAGCAGAAGAAAGCTATATGGGTGACAACAAACATATATTAGTATCCTAGGCCTGGCAGCAAGGGACAGGCTAACAGACTAAATGAAAATGTTTGGAAGTACGGCGGAATAGATGAAAACTGGCAACAAAAATGCCAGAATATTAAAATGATTTTGTGAAGGTCAGGGTGAAAACATGTTATTTAGTTTTCAATGTTCTGTTGGAAGCTTACTGTGAATCCTGGTTCTAATCTTTTGTTCAGAAGTAGTTGCTAGTTATTTTTGCTAACCTGTAGAGAGAGAGACATTGTAACTTCAGCTTTAGTTGGAAAATGTGCTTCATCATATGTTTTGTTATGATCATGGGAGATAGACAGCAGAGGAATGGTTGCACTTTAAAAATAAGTGAAGGCAAATTATTTTGTTGTATTTTCCCCCCATGAAAATATACTTTTGCTATAATAGTTGAGTTCTACGCCTGATTAATTGATTGCTATAAGTTGAAGGATCCTACTGGGAAATAACAATGATAATGAGAATAGAACTTTCAAGGACTCTGGTTTTAGATGTAAAAAAAAACAAACTAAAATTTGGATGAGCTCTTGGAATCAACTGTGAAGACTTTCTGACATCATTCCTTTGTTTGGTTCTCCTACAAAAAGACATTTTGATGTTATTGTTTACATATTGGCCACCAAAAAGGGGCACTCACTCAAGGAAAAGTTTGATCATGACCTTGTACCCTCATGAAATATTTGAGGAATCCTCAACACTATGGACAGTTACTTAAAAATGTTTGGTGCTTGCCTTTCATGATCTCATGTTAGAAAACAAATGTATGTATAAGTTAATTACAGCATACTTCAATAACACATTGTGTACAGTTTTGTAAGGAATTTCAGTCATTGGACGCAGCAGTTCCCCCACTGTATATTTGGTCTGTTGTTAAATAATGAACTGTCCTATGTCAGGTCATCTTTCCTATGTCAGGTCATCTTTCCTATGTCAGGTCATCTTAGCTATCTTAAGTAAATGAAGGGAAAATGAAACTAAAATATAAAAGACAAAAACTTTGATATTTGTCTCATAGAAACTAACTGCACTTTCTGTTATAGAAACTAACTTCACTTTGTCTCATAGAAACTAACTTCACTAACTTCACCTTGTCTCATAGAAACTATAACTTCACTTTCTGTTATAGAAACTAACTTCACTTTGTCTCATAGAAACTAACTTCACCTTGTCTCATAGAAACTAACTTCACTTTGTCTCATAGAAACTATAACTTCACTTTCTGTTATAGAAACTAACTTCACTTTGTTTCATAGAAACTAACTTCACTTTGTCTCATAGAAACTATAACTTCACTTTCTGTTATAGAAACTAACTTCACTTTGTCTCATAGAAACTATAACTTCACTTTCTGTTATAGAAACTAACTGCACTTTGTCTCATAGAAACTATAACTTAACTTTCTGTTTTAGAAACTAATTTCAGTTTGTCTCATAGAAACTAACTTCTGTTTTATTCAAAATATAACACACTTATTTGATTAGCTTGTTCATGACTAAGTCATTTTTTTATTTTTTTTAAATATTATTTGTATTTAGCCTTTAACAGACTTTTGTCTGATTACTGTAGTCTGAAGGGTATTGCTCTGACAAGTTATTTTGACTATCATTTGATAATTTCAATTTTTAAAAAAACTATTAGTACTTGTTATATTGAATGTGACTGGTTATACCAAAGAGAAACCTGTCAGTTACGACAGGAAGGGGGAACTGCTAAAAGGAGACATTTAATCATGTCTGCATTATTTCCAACAAATTTAGATTCCCCTTTTCCTTCATCGCCCAAGTCAACAAACATTTTTTATCTAGATTATTTATGGTTAGTCTGCCATTGATTATTGTTAAAACACATTTGGTTAATCTTGTTTTTTGTTTTTTTAAATTATGTGACCATGTTTTTTTTTATTCACGTCATTGGTGTTCTTTCCTTTGTGTTTTTTTATAGATCAGAGATGAAATTATCTTTTATATCACGTCACTTGAATTTGTTGATTGAACTATTTTGTTTTAATCAATTTTTACAAACGTTTTACTGCCAGTGAAATGAGAGCATTTTATTTTGTTGTTGTTCAGTCTTCAGAGGTTGTGACCTGGTCAAAGGTTTCTCTAAAATTGTTTAAATTGGTTTGCACTGTTGTGAGTACTCTGTGACAGGTACTTACTGTTGTGACCACTCTGTGACAAGTATTTACTGTTGTGACCACTCTGTGACAAGAAGCTACTGTTGTGACTACTCTGTGACAAGAAATTACTGTTGTGACCACTCTGTGACAAGAAGCTACTGTTGTGACTACTCTGTGACAAGAAATTACTGTTGTGACCACTCTGTGACAAGAAGCTACTGTTGTGACTTCTCTGTGACAAGAAGCTACTGTTGTGACCACTCTGTGACAAGAAGTTACTGTTGTGACTACTCTGTGACAAGAAGCTACTGTTGTGACCACTCTGTGACAAGAAGTTACTGTTGTGACCACTCTGTGACAAGTATTTACTGTTGTGACCACTCTGTGACTAGTATTTACTGTTGTAAATACACTGTGACTAGTATTTACTGTGGTAAATGCACTGAGTAAATACACTGTGACTAGTATTTACTCTTGTAAATACTCTGTGACTGGTATATAGTGTTGTAAATACTCTGTGACTGGTATGTAGTGTTGTGAATGCTCTGTGACTAGTATTTACTGTTGTGAATACTCTGTTACTAGTAATTACAGATGGACTTTGTGATTTTTTTTTCCTAATACTTAGTTTTTAGCTGGTCTAAAAACTTTTCACAAAAATTAATACAGAGTTATTATAATTATAAATATTTAGTCATTTGAAATAGACTGTTTCTTTAAAATTGTTTTCAGTGGTTAAAAGTGAATCTTAAACCACATCAATTTATAATGGATACTTTTAACTGCCTTCATGTTAATTTTCATAGTCCTAAAAGCTTTACTGGAATAATCTCACTTTAGATCAGTAGGTTTTCAGAATGTGTTGTCTTTTCACAACAATTATTCTTTGTGATAATTTAGATATATTTTTGAAAAAGTAATCGTGGGATCAGCTCATTAAGATTAATCTAGTTGTCATATCAGTAGGTTTTCCCACATAAAAGTAAACAACGACCTGTTGTTTACATTTCCATATATGTATTATGGGGTGGTGAGCAAGCTGTAAACTCAAGTTTCCGATGTTATTTTGCAAGTTGTTAAAAATGACTTGGAAATCCTTGGGCACATTTTGACACATATTTGAAACCTGACTTTCAGTCCAGTTTTTTTTAAAAAAATGTTTTTTCCAGCCTTGTCCATCAGAAAATGATTCACTTATGAGAAATTATTTGTGCTTTGGACAGGTCATTAAAACAAAATCTCTTCATGAATATATTTTCTCTTATGATTTAACAGGCAAACTTGTTCTTAATTGATATTTAAACAATGGCTAAGTAATTTATCTTGTCTCCTTGTGCCTGCAATTCTGCAATTTTTGCCTTGTGTAAAACTATTTTTAGTAGTTTGAACACCCTGTGACATGTTAACATCTTTCTTTTTTTGTTTCTTTTTTTTGTTTTTTTTAAATTATCTGGTTTTAGACACTACAGGGAAATTGGAAAACAGCAAGGGAAAGCAAAATTGCTTTAAAAAATGTATACTAAATTTTGTTTGTTTTTTTTTCTGGGGATTATTTCCAGACAAATTGAGTAAATGTATATACAGATTATTTTATGGGACATGTTAAGAGTCACTTAAAACACACTTGTTCTTTCATTGTTAACATTGTGTGCTGTTGTTGTTCTTGTCATTGTATAACTTGGAACCTGTTGTTTTTTTTTAATCCTCTGTACATTTTTTGGAATTTCTGTATATAAGATGTGTATATTTTTTTGCTTTTGGCCTGTACATGCGAATACACCACTGAGCAGGTTGTTTGTTTACAAGCTTATGTTCAAGATTTTATCAGTTGTCATTGTCTGTTTAAAGGGTGTTTATTTGATTTTAATACATTTTTTCTTGTGCTTTTCTCTGTTAATAAAGAAAACAAATTGATGTAATATTGCATAGTAATTAGTTTTGTTGAATTATTTTCACAATTTTTGTGTAATTGCCAAAAAAATTCAACTTATTTAATTGATTATGTAAAAAAAAAATTTAAAAACAACACATTGAGCACTGGTCATGGAACATTATTATATTTTATTGATCAATTGATAAACACTTTATGTATCATGAAGTAATGCATGCAAATCAAAAGATAAGATCATCCAAAGGAAAGAAATGAAATTAACCATTAAATTTGTAATTTTTCATTAGGATTATTTCAATGGAAAATTATTTCAAATTAAAACTAAAGATTCAAGGCAAGTAAAAAAATAAAAAAAAAGGAGGACATTTAAAACAACTAATTACTTTTATTCCATGTTTCACAGCGACCTATGCCATATTCCAGTCAGCTTTGAGCTTAGATGACAACTTGGCAGTGTGTCTGTTAGGGTGGGTGATCTCCCATTTTAACATCCAAGGCCCAACATTTACTGTATCAAATGGATCTTCTTTGACGTCTCCCTGACAAAAGCAAATAGTCATTAAGTCCAGCAATTATAAAATGAGATAATCCACAACACCAAAAAAAAAGGATCTTTACTTTGTTAAAATCTTTTGGCACACCACAAATGAGACTTAATAAATATTTTGAATTCACAGTATACAGCTATATCCCCAAGAAAATAAGTTAAAAACTATTTAAGAGATGACAATCTTGGAACCTTTGACCCACACATATGGAATAGGACAGCAGCAGGACACATCCGTGGATCTCTCTTTAATCTCTCTTATAATTAGTTTAAGATTAGATTTTCTTTCTTTTTTTTTTTTAAATATCACATTTAAATAGAAAGCAATGTCTCAAACAACGCCAGCCACTGTCGTGTAATGCTGACCGTGCTTTCCTTGACTGCTCCCTTGTATCTGTCCACACTGTTGAACGTATCCCAGTCAATTTCTTTGAGTGGGTTCTTCTCTGACCTCATTAGAATACCATCTTTTATGCCATAAAAACCAATGGCTTTCTCGGGATTTTGCCAGCGGAGATCCACACTCCAACGAATATCATCGGAGACATTATTCAAACTGAAAAGTTGGTATTAAAAAAAAATAATAATAATGGAAGGTCTGCCGAAACGTTAACATTTTATTGTCCTTTCTTTTGATTCAAGCTTCAACATATTTCGTTCTACCGTTTCATTATTTCAAAAATATAGACATGAAAAAAAGGCCTTCAGCGGGTGAACAGTAGTACGCTTCGGGACAGGGACATCTGCAGAGGAAGAAAGGAACCAGTTGCTTCCAATCTGAGTTGGGAAAGGGGGGGGGGGGGTGTTAAATAAAATAAAATCCACCCTCCCTTTGCCTGCATATTCATTTTTTTTAGGTAACAAAATTAATATGTAAAGAAAAATAATACAGCTATTCAATATTTTTGTTATTTTTTTTTCTATTGGGATTGGGAGAGGGGGGGGGGGGGTGTTAAATAAAATAAAATCCACCCTCCCTTTGCCTGCATATTCAATTTTTTTAGGTAACAAAATTAATATGTAAAGAAAAATAATACAGCTATTCAATATTTTTGTTATTTTTTTTTCTATTGGGGATGGGGATATGAGCAAGGAGGGGGGAAAAGGATATAATACTTGTTAGGCGGAGAATTGAACTCATACCCTCTAGTTCAGTGGCTCTCAACCTTGCTAATGCCGAACACTTTAATACAGTTCCTCATGTTGTGGTGGCCGCCATGCTATTTCATAAACATGTGTTTTCCGATCGTCTTAGGGGACCCCTGTGTAAGGGGTCGTGACCCACAGGCTGAGAACCGCGGCGCTCGTATGAGGCAACTCGTGCAGAGTGACCGTACAGTTACTCCCACGCTCGCTTTGACAAACGATTTTAAGAATTAAAATTATAGGCTGCCAACATTCATTTCTTTTTTAATCATCCCGAGAATTGATAATTTAAATTACTGAAAATTTGAAATTCTTTCTTATCATTATTGTTACTGAATCGTCAGCAATGTTCTGACACCATTTTGTAACAGCACGTTTTTGTTCTAATAATATTCATAGCGAACTCCCGAATTAAGCACCCACACCATGACCATGAGAAACAACTGGAGAACTACGTCGATAGCCAGAACGTGATGGGAGGAACATCTGCACAGATAAGACGTAATTCTGTGCCCGCAGGTTAGACCACAGAAAAAAAACTGGACATAAAAAAGGGCCAAGCTGCTCTGATAACGGCAGGGGTTTACATCTGAGAAATATTTCCAC